TTTTTCAATACCTAGCACCTCAATTGAGAGGTTATTTTTGTAATCATTTTAGTTGGGGTGTTGTTGTTTTGTTTCTACCCATACGGAGTTGTTTTCAGCAAATGTTACCAAACTGACAGATAGCCAGGATCTTCCACCAACTGTGTGTTATTAGCTTCCAATAACAAAGCCACACCAGCAATATTTTACTTGATTTGCAGTAAACACAGACCTTTTCGAGACATATTTTGACTACTTGTCAATAGTGATAATACGACCACGATCATGACCACAAATAACTTAAAACGAAATAACATTTCTTTTGACACAAATATACAAATGCATAGAACATTCCCATGGGGGAAATAAATGACTGGTGTGAATGTGTGTTTATGATTATTACTTTTTTCCGTATTACATTTAAAATGAATTATGTACGAGCTATGTTGGATGTATTCGTGCATATGTGAAATTATCAATACAACATAAGGCTGTTACCGTGTGCTATTCACGCTCAATAAATGCTTATGTCTCACTGAATAACAATAGACAAATTTGGAACAGACACTTAAACAAACAATGTAATTAGGCAGCTCAGCAAGCTCATTTACGTCAGGCTGAATATGGCTGTATTTACATTCGACAAAATACGTTAAAAACAAAATTAAAACCGGAAATTGTAGTTGTCAAAATACGTTATTAAATTAACAAAACTAACTTGATGTGCTTTAGAGTAGATGCGAGGCGGCTCAAATTAGTGGTGGTACCATTCCGCAACACGAAACTTTCTCTATGACGCCATGACAATAAAATAAGCTAAATGTTGAATTTCGTTGCATACAAACTAGGATGAAGAAATAAACATATAATCTAGCTGCTTACAAAGGCAAAACTGCTGACGTTTCACGCGCCCGGGTATGCTGCCAACACGAACTCAACGGCGAATTTAATTCGCGTCTTCCGCCGGCGAGACATCATCATCATCATAATCTTCATCATTGTCGTGGCCATCCCCCCCTCTCCTTCTCATCCCCATCACCAACACCCATATTATTGCTCCAGCTCAAGAACCTAAGCTTCCGCTTTCTAATACTATACACCATCATCCTTTTATTGTCATGGGATTGGGTGTGTCAGACCTGGTGACCAATGAGATTTAGACTAGATTGTGAGATTTGCCACTTGTACCACGGTTGGGGACTCATCTTTCTAAACAAAATGCTTCGTGGATAAGAAGTCTTTACTATAGCCCTTGAGGCTACTGTAAAGGCATTGTGGTCACCAAGAACCTCGTTGCACTATCTCCTGCATTTTTGCTGGTGCTCAGATGACAGCACTTGTATATTTTGGTGGAAGGTCATGTTGCTGAATAGAGCCGCTTTTAGCTGTTCTTGATAGATATGAGTTTTCACGACACATCTTTTCATCCCCTTGGCTTCTGATGTTTTCTTCATCTTACTCTAGGATCAAGCACACTCCTCTTTCATCTTGCCTTTTGCTATCTGCACTTATTGCTTGTTGTGCTTTGCAGGAAGGTCTGTCTTTGGTAGTTGAGTGTGTCATACAGATTATGTAGAAATCATACAGATTATGTAGAAATCATACAGATTAAGTAGAAATCATACAGATTATGTAGAAATCATACAGATTATGTAGAAATCTGTATGTATAAGCTGGCAATGTTTCCTAAACAAATCTTTCACATGGTTGTAGTCGAAGTCATACATAAGGTGCTTAAAGAGGTTGGGTTGCTGTGATGGCATTATCAAAGAAGAAGCCTATGCCCTGGATAGTTTCCATCATCAGAAGCAAAGCATTCATTCTGATATAAGGCTCCATCCAAGTACTCAGTTTCGGAACCAGTTATTTTTTTGTTTGTATGTGATGTTAGGTAGCAGGTAATTAATTGCAGCCAGGTTTCAACATACAACCTGAAAGACCTTTTCATCGTCCTTTCTGTAGTCTAAGTCAATGGCAACAAGGCATCAAATCTCGGGGTATGGACCCGACTAGTTCCGGTGAACTATATCTGTAAGCCCCATCAAAAAAGGAAAGTACTCCATACAGAATTCATTATTTATTTATATATATATTTACTACTTGTGCAATTTCTACATTTACAGTGTAAGGCCTGCTTATCGCACCCAGAGAACTCACACTGGACAGGGGGTTCTTTCACTGCTAGTATGGGATAGACAAGACAATAGTTCTGGAAATAAAATACACATACACCAAAATATCAAGTTAAAGCTCCTGGCTTTAATACCTCTCAAAGTAATTACAAGAAATAAAAAATACAGCACTAAAAAATACACTGCATAAGCTCACTAAAAAAAGGGATTGCCTTGGGGAGTTTGCATTGGTGATAACTCACAGTTCCAGGACGACAGTCAATGGCTTCTGCAACACAACAACGAAGAAATACAGGTGTCTTGCTTGCAGGGGACGCTGGTATTCTGGAGGGCACCGCTGAAAGCAGGATATCGCAGAGCAGTTCATACAAGTTTCACAGAATGATGGTTGTAGCCTGTATCACTTGTCACACACTATCGTACCAGCACACATATGATACCAAGTTGAAATGATGAACCCAAACTGTTTTCTGTCTATCCAATCTATAGGCATGATTCAGTGACACCACATGGGTTTCCACATAAGCCAAATGAGAATGTTGCTAGCAGCTGTGTCACGTAGGCAACTCAGTCGATCATAAACATCTTTTGTTATTCAAATAACAGCAAACCTGTTAGATTCCAATTCTCCTTCTAATGTTGTAAACACCCTTTGGTATGTAAATCACAAGCACACGCCAGCTTTTAATCTTTTTTAAAGCCAGTCTTGGGATTATGAGAAACAGTTGAAACACATTTTACATACTTGAGGCAAGATTCGTGCATGAAACGTTTTGACCAATTGGTTTAGACCAATGCACTTTGTACTGCTCTCCAATACTTCCACTACAGCACACAATGTAGCTTAAAGTAAGTCACCACTCTTTTTTTCATTAGTAATGGTATGTCTAAATGTTCCTCCAAGTCACTTAATAATAGATCTCTATATCATCCTCCCACCAGACATTATGGTATAGTCTCTGTGTCAACACGATCTATGTGTCTGTGCCATCCTCTACTTACTCTATCAATGTGCCACGGATATTGAATTATTTGGCAAATGCATGGAACCTCTTCTGACCCCAGACCTCAGTATATGATTGCACCTATCAATGAGCCAAATTCTTTGACACTGAAGTGATTTTGAAAATGAAAATAGATTTTTTGAACTAATAGTGTTTGCCATATATTGACGTTTGCTGTGCTGTTTATAGTCATTAATATAATGTCTAGTGGAAAATTCCAACGTTCTAATCATGGGAGTTAAATAGAGATTTTAGCTAAAAATTAAGACCATATTGTTGTATTGCACTATAGCTTTAGTCGACATGCTGTTGGATGAAGATATGCAATTTGAATAGTTTCCCTTTTTGTTTTCATACATAACACACCAGCCAAGTGATTGACAGTGCGCCAAGGTAATCAGAAACTGTGTCTCAGCTGTTGATTATCTCTTGTAGTAGGAGGCTGGCTACAAACTGCTCTGAAATTCAGAAGGTGGGATTATTTTAATCTAAGTCATTAGCATCAACAGTTTGGAGAAATTATTTGTTTATTGGGGAAATATGTTAATCGTGCTAATGAATTAAAAACACACTTCTTGACCAATCATATTGCGCCATTGCAGGATTTTATTTACACTAAATGTTCTATCATTGAGTCTTTCTTGTTTTTTCAAGTCAAATTTCTCTACTGTCATAAATTGTTCCATGAGTGTATAATTTATTTCAGTTGCACCAAATAATAGAACTATTATGATGCATAATGTGAGACAATTATTTATTGTTTTGATCATTTTGTTTTTTGGTAATTTGATAGAATTTTAAACAGTAGCAATATACCAATGACTAACTTTTATTTCTCCAGCATGTAATTAAGTTATATTTTCTATTTGCAGAAACTCCAAAACGAAGTAACCACGCATCATTCAAACATCAACAACGTCCAAGCAGATAACAGTTTCCAACATGGAAAAAAGCCCATTCGGCAGGTTCGTTTAGATGAATTCAAGATCAGTTGACCGCCATCTTCTATTTGATTGTGTTAAGTTCTTTATATGAAACCAACTATTGATTCGAATTCCATTGTTTTTATGTAATTTAACAATTAATAGTTGTCAGAATATTTTGGTCATTTTGTTTATTTGTTGTACGTTGCATTACCAGTGATAACCTATCAATCATTGATTTGTCTTTCATTTGTATAACTACTGTAGCTTGATATTAACATATGGGGTGTTTTTCTAATCACAGAAAGTTCAAAACAATGTTACCACGCACCGTCACAGCAATAACGTTCAAAAAGCAAATGGAATTCAACAAAGAAAACAGTCCAATTTGCGCTATTTGTTGCCGTTAGTAGTATATGGACCCGAAGGTCCTAATTCTATCTACAATTCGTATAGATTTGCTATCAATTATGCTTTGCAACAAAACAGAAGTATAGTAAATGTTCCAATTAAGATGCCGGACAGGTTACCAGGATATAGATGGTTCAATGATACATTTGATGCAGAGATGCTGTCCAGAGTAGTTCCTGTAAAAAACCTGGCAGATTTCAAAAGAGACTGTGGAAGCGAACTGCCATTAAAATCACTCGTGCTTCTGCGACACCGGGTGGTCGAAGACAATCTTTACTGGCCAAATAGACGAGATTTCCTTGAAGATCTACTCGGTATCACTCTCCCGAAACAAGAAAATAATCACAGTTTCCCTGTAGCGGTTAAGCAAATTACGGCTTCCGCTGACACCCCTTGTATACTTGTTACATTAATAGATGCTAGCCGGGTCTATTCAACGGTTAAAGATTTTCCTTCAGATTACCCGAAAATCGACAAGCATTTAATACACACAAAAGATATACGACAGTTTGCCAGTAGTCTTGTCAAACAACTATGTAATGGAGAACAATTTGCTGCATTCCATTGGAGAAATATGGGCGCAGAAAGGTGAGTTATTGTTATATGTTGTATAAACACACATAACTGAAATTGTATTAACGGTTATTTATAGAATACTGATGGAATGCGATCTACGCATTGGTTATACTTTATTAGCACTATCATGATTTATATTTCAGTCAGTTTGACAGTGGTTGTCATGACATATACTGATAAAGGTTAATGACAAGACCAGATGGCGAGCTGGTCGAAATCAACCAAAAACATCTTATGACTCTGCAGTTTTTAAGATACAAGACAGTAGCTGTAATTCTAAACCAATGTTGTTTGCGAATTTAACTAAGGTGGTATGTTTGTGGAATGTTAGTGCAAGACTATTACCCCATCAATATTAGTTAGCGTTGACAATGTATAGAAATGTTTTCTCTAGACAGCTTGACGAGTAATTAATTGATTATGATGTGTAAAACTTTCATGTGATTGGTTGTTTGTTGGAAGGCAAGGCCTTGGAGTCTCTTATACTGATTGTAATTGGTTAAGGGGTGACAAGAAATAAAGATTGATTTAATGCTGTCTCGGGTGAAAACCAGGGACTTGGCAGAGAATCGTTTTGGGAACATGAACGAAGCTTGTGTGTGTCTTTTGTCAGCCTAGCGTGGAAACGACCGAATCCCGGTTACCTAAGTGAAAGGTTTTTAACCATCAAAAATACCTATCACAGCACCATGCGTAGCAAATAACAATTAATGAGACACGGATATTGATTATATAATGTTTTAATTCGACATGTGATTTTAAATGCCAGTCTATTATATTATGTAACAACATGTGATTGGCATGTAAAACTTCATCAGGCCGTGTCTGAGATTTATACATGTATATATAATTAAAAATATTTATGTGTCACACGTGTAGATTTTCACATATCATGTTTTAATATAAACCCAGTTGCAATATTAATTAGGTTCAATGTTCGCATCCAACCGACTGAATGAATATCATGAGTTGATTTAGTAAAATTTGAAAATTGATTGCGTGTTACTGCAACCGACAAATTATCACGTGACTAGAATTGTTGACCAATCAGCTTCCAGCAATTGTAGTGAATTATACGACTTGATTCACCTTTGGAGATACAATAAAATCATTAAATTAGCATACAACTGTAAACTGAGAACATACTTCTCA